GCGGGGCGGGGCGGGATGAGAGCGGTGGCGGGCGCGGAAGCAGACGGTCCGTCGTGTCGGGCAGAAGAGAGACGGCAGCCGAGAGGTGAGGTCCAGTCCAGCGGAGCCACACGAGTCAGTCGGACTTCCCTCCCGCCGCCACACACTCCACCGCCAGGATGGCGCCGACGACACGGCCCGCGGCCGCGCCCCTGCTGCTGCTGCTGCTGATCGCCGTCCTGGGCGCGCTGGCCGCCCCCAGAGTCACGACCAACAACAAGAAGGTCAGTCCAAACGCACCGCAAGGTCCCCGTCCTGGTGCCCTCGCCGCCAGAGTGCAGGGTCACCACTTGGCGGCGCTGATAATAAACGCTCACCACTACACGTTGCGAGACGCCCTGGAGTCTTGTAACCTGCCCTGCTGTTACCTTCACTCGGACACGGACACTGTGGTGTGGGGTGTCGGACTCGAAAATCGCACCCTCCCCCTTTCTTCTGAGGAGTCCCCAAACTTTCAAAATGTGTAGTACTGTAAAACCCGTGCGAAAGTGCCTCAGACGCCCTCTCTAGCTCGGCGTCTCAAATCAAAATTAACCGTAATTAACCCCCCGAAATCGCGATGGTTAGACCGTTTGAATAAGCAGTAGAAAGATGTTGACATATTTTGACCTGCCCGACTCCCACCTCCTCAACTGCCCTTTCACGTGTTTCCCGGACAAACCCATGAGCAGTGACATACTTCTAAGCCTTATCTTTTCGCACTCTCGCTGATAACCCGAGGTTTTTCTTGTAACGAATGGCGCCGTTACTCTAGTTTAACGCCATATATTTCTCTTGTCTTTTAAAACATTTTTTCTTGAAAAGTACACTTGAAGTTTAAAGGAGCGTGACTACCGCCGCGGCTGTGTCCGGGAGGAACCCACCGCCCTCCAGCTCGACCGCACTTCCGCGTTGTTCTTGTTATCGCAAATACCGTCCCATGTTTTATGCATGCGCGTTTGGAGCATATTTTGGAGGCCCTGTGCCGCCTCTCCTCCGGCCGTGAGTGGCATCGCCTCGGTCATCGAGCTCTTATTTGCGCTCGCCGCTCTCCTCGCTCTCCCCCCGCTCTCCCCCGTCCCCTCTCCACAGATAAGCCGCACACACGGGGCGGGCCCGCGGGGACAGCCAGACGCGCGCGCCTGCGTGCCGGACTCCAAGATCATGCCTCGTCGAACCGTTTTGCGTCGCCTTCTTGGCAGCTCTGACTGCGTAGACAAAGGGGCGATAAAGGAGACAAGAGAGATGAGAACTCCAAGTGCGCGGTTATGTAACGGCGGCGGCCGGCGGCGTGACTCCAGTTGTTGTTGTTGTTTCTCATCCTGCCCGCGCCGAGGACGCTGTCGTGCTCGTCTCCGGAAGCGTGATCACGTTATTGGCAGCCGATCTGATTGGCTCTTAGTTCTGATCGCTTTTGCTGGACAAATGATAAGCTGGCTCCTGGCTCGCCGCGACATCCGTGTGGTCCCCTCCGCATTTATATACCAAGTCCATCTCATTATTCGGGATCGGAGAGGAAGAGAGGAGGAGGAAAAGAGGGGGGGGGGGGCAATAAAAAGTAGAGGATTGAGACCGAGGCGCACCGCGAGGTGTATGCGCGAAACAAGTTTTTACTGAGCGACTGATCGATTTGCGACGGAGACGAGTCGCCGGCGAGGAGCGTTTGCTGGGAGTTCCACCGCGGCCGAATGGAGTGGAGGGGACCTGGCGAAGCAGAACGGCGCGGCGTGTGTGCTGTGCTCCACCACTCAAGGTGCACGACGCGAGCAGTTCTGTAAATAAATCAGTTTGTCGTAAACATTTTCCTGGTGGTTCAAACTACGGGAGCTCGGCGCCTGCGAGACTCGGGGTAGGCCACACCGCAGTACGCGGATGCACTGCAGGCAAGATGTTGCCTACCTCGCCGGGCGCTATGAGAGCTTGCACGGGCTGAACTCGGCATAGGTTCGTACTTGTAGCGTCGAATGACGGGACGGACGTACTTTCCAGACGATCCCACTCACTGTACGACAGACGGCCGAAGGTGGCGCTATGGCTATGATGAGTGGCGAGTGGCGCGTGGCGGCGCGCGTTTTAGAAACATTGGAAACACACCCGCCCACCTGGTGTACCTGGTGCCCTGGCCCGGGGTTCGAGCTCCTAACGGGTCGGGGTGATACGGCCTGTGTCGAGTACCTCACCTTGCGCCTCCAGGGAGGGGTCATTGAGTGCGACCAGCGACCGGAGAGAGAGAGAGAAGGGGGTGGGGGTGGGAGAGTGACAAGAAGGAGAGGAAGGAGACGTCCGCGGCGGCGCCGGAGATGGAGGCGTGTGTCGCACAAGGCACGTCGCGACGGCGTCGTCGTCGGAGAAAGTTGTCCCGCGCCCCAGCCCCACCTTGTACCCCGCGCTGCCCCCGCCCCGCCCCGCTTCACTCTGCCCCGGGCCGTCCGGATTGTGCACCTCATTTGGTATGCGGTATCATCCGGTATCACCGCCGCCGCCGCCGCCGCCGCCGCCGCCGAGTCGCACGCCGCGTTGGCAGCAGGGCAGGCGGGGAGGTTGACTTCTCGAACCCGACGCCTCGCCTCGGCGAGAGGGAAGTCCGACCCGAGGTCAGATCAGACCTTGTTCGGCTTCCGCGCGAGAACGGGAGCTTTTGGTCCTCGGCGCGGTCTCTCCCTCCCTCTCTCTCTCTCTCTTTCTTTCTAGGGGGTGGACGGGGCGGGTGGGAGGTATGGGACCACAACCCGTGGTTGTGGCTGCTTGTGGCCACAAAATATGGCAAGCTACGACAAAAAGGCGTCGTGCGCCAGGGGGTTCTTCATCGGGGAAGTCCAGTCCAATAGCAGGAGAGCCATCATCAATCTCGCGCCCACGGACACGAGTTACTCGCCACGACATGCATGCAGGGTGTCCCATAGGTTGAGATTTTTGGCCTCAATGCGGTATATTCGGGTACAGTGCAACCAAAATCAAAGAACGGACGGAGCCTGTGGGACACCCTGCTACCGAGGGGGTATTCACTCCCGTAATACCCTGTACACCCCACCTGGGTATTACGCGGTATTACTTGTAATGTAATACCGAAAAATAACAAAATATGCTATAAGGTGGCAAAATTTTGAGTGTAATACCGGCGTAATACCCGGTAATACCTCGTAATTTGATGTAATACCGAGAACTCTGTACAAGTTTTATGGTAGTGAATACCCCCTCGCCTGCTACTGTATACGATTCGAGCCAGATCCATAAACTTTTGCTAACCTGCGGTTCGTATGTCCGCGCCTTTCTCCCCCGGCTGCGTGCAGGTTCAGGTGCAGGTCATGTACGAATCGCTGTGCCCGGACTCCATCCGCTTCATCAAGGAGCAGCTGACGCCCGCCTACGAGGCCCTCGGCTCGCAGAGGATGGTGGTCGAGTTCGTCCCGTACGGGAAGGCCACGGTGAGTGGTGGTGGTCTACCACTAAAACACACATGTACACTGTCAACAAAAATAATAAAAAATGAAACGTTTGCTGAATTTTTTATTCACGAAATGTCCCTTTTTCCAGACCTACCCGACGGACACCGGGTACAGCTTCCGCTGCCAGCACGGCTCCAACGAGTGTCGAGGCAACAAGGTGATGGCGTGCGGGCTGGCCAGGCTGCTCGCGGACAACAAGAGACAAGTCAAGTTCGTCAACTGCATCATGTCCCAGACCAACCCTTCCAAGATGAGTGACAAGGTAAGCGATCGCGGACTTACGCATCGATCAATAACCACGAAATTAAAATGGAGCGTCCCGCGTGTTGTTGTTGAATCGACATCGAAATGTCATCGAAACGGCGTCGATCTGATGTACAGTTTCGATGTGAGTTTATCGCTGGGCTACATATTTGCATTATTCATTGCGCAGTGCATCAGCGACGCCGACCTGGAGGCCCGCGACATGCTGGACTGCGTCAACAGCAGGGAGGGGCAGGTGCTCCTGGCCGGGATGGGCGAGAAGACCCCCAGCGACATCGAGTTCGTGCCCAGAGTGGTCTTCAACGGGGTGAGCAGTGAGCACGCGGAGCGCGCTCCCGGCTGCGGTGCGGAGGAGCATGACCTGTCCGCCGCCGTGACGTCGGCTACTTTCTTTTCTATAAGCATAATTCTGTAATTCATCCCGTGCCTTCTCGAACAGGAATTCAAACAAGCCGATCAAGACCAGGCGCTGTCCAACCTGATCCACGTGGTCTGCGACAAACTTGCGCCCAGCGAAAGGCTTCCCGCCTGTGAACGGTGAATACCCTCAGCGAGACTGCTCTAGTGACTGCCTGGCTCCCCACCAATGTGCTAATAAGTCTCTAAGGGGAAACTAGGGGAGGGGAAGGAGGGGAGGCGAATGCAATGCGGCAACTCAAAGGAGGAACCCCCAAGATTACTGAGAGAGAAGAGGGGAGGGTGGAGGATTGTAAAAGCAGCGATATTGTATCAGCGACCTTCCTGACTCTTTCTTTTTGTGGCTGTGCTGTTTTAACCGCGAGTCTGTGATAACTTGGACCACTATATTTGACAATAATTCAGCAACTTAGAAATTATGTGGTTTTCACATTTAAAGTAATCATAACAAATCATAACAAAATTCATTTTTTCCCACTCTTTTGTTCTTACAGAAAAAAGAACCCAACCTCAAGCTGGTTCTTTTGGTGATGACTTGGAATGGACATTAGACAGATATGATGACTGAGACGGACAAGTGAAAAATTGAAGAATACTACCATCAAATGAAAAATATCTGTCACAGTTTTTAATTTATTT